GCTGGAACTAATCTCTGGCCCTGGGTGCATTTTCACTTTGCAGTTTAACTCTTGTTCTGAAAAAGAAATTATCTCCCAGAACTTGCCCCGTGTAGTCCTTTTGCCAAATTTACCCATCTGTGTTACAACAGCTATACTTCTGGAGAAAATGCTCTATCAAGAGAGACAGCTTTCCTAATCTGTTAGAGAAAAACAAAAACTTGATGCATTGGACAGCATGTGCACTTCTAATCCTTTTCTTCCTTTGTTTTTAGACGCCTTCCGTGTATGCATCTCTTCCATCAAGTGTGTGTCGACCAGTGGTTAATTACAAACAAGAAGTGCCCCATTTGCAGAGTGGACATTGAAGCTCAGCTGCCCAGCGAAAGTTGACAGGCTTTGGCCTCCAACCTCTTGCTTTCCTCCTTCACACCCATATCCTTCTGGGTACTGCAGTCAACCAAAGATGGCATGACTTAGCTGTGCAGTTGTGGGAAGCATTTGAACCTGCTAGAGTGCCGTTTGTCTGCTCTGTGGTATACCTAATGCTAATCCTACAGTTAGTGTATTTATAAAGCTTATTTTTGGTTTGTTTGTTTCGCCCTTTCAGATTCCTAACTGGTTTTCCCTGTCCTTTTGCATGGATCGCTCCCGATATTGCATTTCTTTGCACATATTATGGGCTTAGTGACCCCCCAAACTTGCAGGCAAGATTATCTGCTTTAGAAAGTAGAACTGTGTGGTCCTCCCTCCCTTTTTATTTGTACCAAAAGTCAACTTTCCAGAGTATGATTTCACTCATTACTAACCTCAGAGTCCTTAATTTAATCAAGTTTCTTAGTTTTAAATGTATAAAGATCAAAGGATATTTTTTTTAAGACATTCCTTAATTAGGAAAAAAAGCTGCTGTATACTTGTGTGGGAGAGAGGCATGAGGGCCTTGTCCTGGGCGAGCTTTGTTAAAAAGAGCATGGCTGGGGCTGCCTGCCCCACTATCTGCACCATCAGTCTAACCTGGAAGCCTTGCCTTACATCCTGTAATGTCAGACTAATTGGAACGTCCTTTTGGATCACATTTTTATGTTCTTAAACCTTCAGCACAATGCAGATATCTTTGAATGTCAATATTAAAAACATTTAGACTGCTGTCTGATTGTATGTACCATTTTCTTATGTCTAGCCATTCAAATCACTAACATAAAGTTTACTGCTGTGAACAGCTCTACTGAACACTAAATACTGGATTTTAATTACCGGTAGCTGCACTGTAGATAGATGCAGGCTGAAAAAAACAAGTACTAGGAGAAGGAGGAGAAGAGCAGGGTTGTTATCTGTCTGTTGTTTCTCATTCCCCAGTCCTGTGTTCATCTGCTGATCTACACAGACTGGTTTTGTAAAAAAGGAAAAACTCAGCTACGGGATGAAACCAGTACTTAAAATAGCATTTCTTAAGGCAAATATCCATGAATTCATAGATTTTATGAAGATCCCTACTCTCGAGGGGATTGGGTGGTGTTTTTTTTTTAGTTTTACAATTAATAAAGTTAGCTGAACCCATCTGCCTTTTGTGTTCTTTCTCAAGATTGATTATCGTATTACATAGGATATTCTGCTATTAGCGCCTATGGGGGGGGGGTCTTTGGGTGAAGCACATTCAGGGACTTTTCCTGAATCCGGAGGCTCCCTTGACCGGGGCCTCCCGCTCCTGCTCAAGGAAAAGACTACAGCTCCCAGAGGCTCTTGTGCGAGGACTGCAGTCTGGTGACGCGGGACGAAAAAAAGCGACAGCCAATCGGGCGCGTCTCCTCCACGCGGAGTACCAGTGGGGGCTTCCATTTGAGACCGAGGAGGCGGACGTGCGCGGCGGCGGCAGCACATGGCGAGTGAGCGCAGCTGGGCGTGGCTTCCGAGTGTGGGAACTGCGCGTGGCTTCCGTTACTCGCCCTCTCCGGCTGAGCACCTGAGGGGCGCCTGTTCGGGAAGCCCATCTGGAACAGGCTCACGGGCGGCTTTCTAGCGCTCGCCCGGTTCGTGCGGCGCAAGAAGGCGGACGGGCTCCGTGCCTTCTGGGGAGGCAGCTCTAGAGACTGCGGGGGTCTCGGGCGCGCTCAGAGCCTCCCTCCCTTGGAAGTGGGGGCGATCAGGAGGCGCTTCCCGTTGAGCTCCCAGGGCGCCTTTACCGCGGCTGCCTGCTTTTGCTTCCCCTCCTTTTGTAGACCCCCCCGTCCTCTGACGAAAAGGCGCCCTGTTCTATCTGTGGGGGGGGGGGCAGCCGTGCCAGCCTGGCCCCGGTTCTCCCCTCGCTCCCTCCTGGCCCCCGGCCTGCCTTTGGGCCTCCGCGGGCGCGTCCAGGCCGAGCCTCCTCCGAGGGGCCGCACTCCGCACTGGGGTGCTGACGCCGCCGGCCGGGCGATCCGCAGCCGTGCGACGCCTACGCCGAGGAGAGCTCTGGTTCCCCACGGCTCCAGCCGGGGCCTCTCGGGGATGGGAGTGTTAAAGGCCGCCCTCCACTGGTTTCACCGTCAGTTGTGTGCTTTTCATCAAAGCTTTGTAGGAATGTATCTCGGGCATCTTCTCTGAGGTGGCTGTGCTGGACAGGCCTGAGGGGAGGGAGATTTCCTGACTGCTGAACAGTGGAAAGCTCATTGTTCTAAGAACCATAAACAATGAGAACCAGTTTCTTTGCTAGCAGGAGGCTGAAGTCGGGCCTAAGTGCCACCTCCCGTAAGGAACTCCAGTTGGTTGGTGTGACTGCAATGGTTCTGGCTGCAAAATATGAAGAGATCTATGCACCAAGTAGTTTGGGTTTTGTTTACATAACCGATAGAGCATACAAGTCCACTCAGATTCAGAAAATGGAGCGGAATATCCTGAAAGAGCTGAATTTTGTGCTGGGCCTACCACTCTACTTCCTGAGGAGAGCAGCTAAAGTTTCAGAAGTAGGTCTTTCCCCGGCTCTTTGGACATCTGGCTGAATTGGGTGCAGGATCAGATAAGGGCAGTGAGTGCCCAGAAGGTTGTTCTTACAGTCCAACAAAATTAATATTGGGGGAGGGAATAGTGCACAAATACCAAGTCTTAGAGAGTCAAACAGTTTCCTGAGCAGATTTCGCTTTTAAGCAAGGCAGCTTTGTATCTGCTTTAGTTGAGGTTTCCAAATGGCTGAGGAGGAAGGCTTAGCAGAGTGAGGCTCCAAGGGGTGACACAATGGGGGCAAGAATGGAGAGTGTTCTGAATCTGATTAGAGGGCCCCTTCAAGGCAGAAGTAGTAAGTACTTGAGAGACACTAAGTCATGGGGCGCGCTTCCCCAGAGAAAAGCACTCAAAGCCCACTCCGAGCCTGAAGACAGATGGTTGCCTTTGGTCCTTCATTTCCAGCCTTCTGCAGAATACCTGCTAGCAAGATAGTTGATGGAATTAACTCTTGTGGACTATGAGATGGTGCATTACAATCTTTCGGAGAGCATTCTGTCTCAAAGAAGGTAGTCACGCAGGGCCAATGGGTGAGTCTCAGCTGTAGGCAGGGCCTGAGGAAGCTTTGCACGCCCTTCCCCAAGGCTTCAGAGTTCTCGTGTCTGCGTCTTCCTCTCACTCCATGTAGTGGGGATCCAGAGCTCCACATATCTAACTCTAAGAGCAAATCCAGGAACAGGATCGCCCTGCACAGTTAACAGGGCAGGATTTGCCTTGATCCTGTTTGTCTGAGACTCAGGCTATTGAGGACGTGGGTTCTGCTTAATGACTGTTAACCAGGATTCCCAGTAGTTGAGTGTGGGGAGGAGTCAGTTCCCCAAGCCACCATCTCTGGGCATGTTTTAGCTCGGTTAGGCTGTTGGATGGCAGACTGGACAAAAGCTTGCTAAGAAAAAGTTATAGAAGAAATCGGCAAGGCCCCTATCTATTTTGTTATCCAGCCTCTGGAGACAAGACCTTCTCTTGCCTTGTGTGGCTGGCCCTGCTTCAGCCTTGCCTGGCCCTGGAGCTTCACACAAAGTTGGGGCTGTGCCTGCCTTGAGCCATAAAAGGTGCTCCATGATACTGTTACAAGTCTACTATCCTCAGAAGTGTCCAGTCAACCTGCCCCAGAGTGGCCCCATCCAAGTCAGCTGCACTGCCCCAAAGGCATCCCCATTGCTGACCCTTTTCAAGCCCTCACATGCACCCCTCCCCCAAGCAGAGGGGGTTTAGCCTGCACAGGATTGTCACACCAGCTTCCTCTCGCAGAACCTCCAGCTGTTTTTATACTGGATACACGGAGGAGAGGCTCTCCCTGATTATACGGCACCTGGCCAAAAATGCGGTGTGTCTTAATAGGAATCTAACAAAACAAATTGTAAGTATCCTTTCATCCTCCAGTCTCTGAGCTGTATCCCTTATTGTATAGTGTGTGGCCTTGCTAGCTAAGTAGACAAGCAACCTGAAATGTAGATGTCTTCCTCCAAGACAAGTGAATTACATTGCCTTGCTAAGATAGTGTTGGATTGATCTCTGAGGCCCAGCCCTTGACCCTCAACCCCATCAGGCAGTCAAGGAGAAATACTCCAGCATGCACCATTAAAAGACTTAACGTGTTGGCTAAATGAATCCCAGCAACTGTTGTGAGTGCCAGCCAGAGTCCACCATCACCATCTCGCATCACACGGGAGGTGGGCACAAGACCTGTGCATATAGGCCAGGATGTCATGTATTTATACTTTTAATAAAGACATTGCAGAAAATGCTCTTTGAAAGCTCATGGAGTTGCCAATATTTTTACTCTGCCTTGAAAAATAGCAAGAGGGACTTCCTAATAGAGTGGTTTTAAAGCTGAAGGCCTGTGTGGCATGGAAAACCACAACTGCTTCACAAAAAGTGTGTGAGGTAGCTCATCTCTTTCAATATCTGTCCCGAGTTGTAAGAGAATCTTTCTTGAACCAATAGGACTGGCCAGTCTCTTAGGTTCTGGAGCCACAAAGCTGCCTTGAACCCCTGTCCCAAAAGGGCAGGGAGCGCACTTCTCACAGAGCCCCGCACCACAGGAATTGTAGTCTCTGTTTTTATTGATGGAGGAGAGCAATTTAACCCACATGCAGAGGGCCCACGGCAGCACAGACCAGCTTTGGAAACTTCGTAATGCTGACAATTGTGCCACGTTCCTATGATGAAGTACCTGGGCCCCAAATGATATTCCAAGCCACTTACTTATTGTGCACATTAGTACGGTTTTGCCCTTGGCTTGTTTCTTTACATGTGCGCCAGATGAAAGCAGTGACAAGAGTTTACAGCTTCCTTGGAGGAAAAAGGAGAGGGGGGTAATGCATAGATACAATAATAAACAATAATAATAAAAGTCAGTGTGGGCCAGCCACATTGACTGACCAGATGAACTATTTGCAGCATAGAATACTGTTTTCCTTCGGTTCTGGTGCCTTTCTGGAGTCACAAGCATAGCTAGACAAGACAGTAGGAGAGAGTGTAGATGCACACAGACAGACGTGTCCACTTAGGAAAGGAAGAGGCGGCGCAAGGTTCCCCAGAGAACTAGCAGCAGAATCTCCTTCCCCTGGGAAGCTGCCCACTGTGGAGAGGTGCATAGAATGTCATTGCTTCGTTAGATAATCTGGAAGAAAAAGCAGAGCAACTAAAGGCACTTGAAAAATGAAACAAAATTCTTCGAAATCCGTCAGAGCACTTGATGGTTTCCAGAACTGTTTTTTTTTTAAATAATGGAATGTAATTTCAACACATTCCTCTTTGCAAGAAAAAGAGTTAAATAAAATAAATAAATCCTTGGCTTTGTGGGCTTTGGCTTCTCATAAAACAGACTTATCCTCTTTTTAACCTCACGGAGGAACTGAAGCTGATATTGTAGACTTTGCCTAGACCGGCAGCTTTCCACATCACTCAGAGGGTCAGAAAGCGTCTCCTCTGGCATCTTGGAACTGATCAAGGGTTTCTTAGGGTCAGAGTTACACCTTGGTCACGTAATTATTCGGAAAAAGTCCTTGCTTGCCTCTTAATCGGCCTGTCCACCAGCCAGAGGGATCTGGAAAAAAGGACAGTTAGTTAGAAGAAGCTTTGCCTGACCCTAACCCCACCCCCAACTCCCAGCCGCTTGTTCTGGTATTTCAGACCTAAGAAAATGGGTTGCAGTGGGACACAAGTAAGGGACATTTGCAAAGCTACAGCACCCAGTCATTTTTTCTTTGTCTATTTTTAAGATGAGAAAAAAAGCCATTTTTGGAAATACCCAAATGGAGGAGAGTAGTAAGCTAATCCAACATTAGGCCATGGAGTAAAAGGGATGACTAACTGGGCACAAGCAGAACGGAGATTTAAGAGCCCTGCCCGGTGTCAAAGGGAGCAAACGGCCCCCTTTGCCTTGAGCGGGCAATGCCTCCCTGAGGTACCCCAGGGCGGAGGCAAAAGGTGCACCGTCTCTCCAAGAGCCAACTGCTCGTTTATGCATATTCTGGATGGGGCAGAGATGGACAAAGGAGGGGATGCATTTCCTGTGTCTCAGACAATGCAGAACAAAACACACTTGATCATTCTCTGAATATTCAGCAGTCTGAGTATATGAAAAAGATCCTGGGCGAGTTTATAGTATGACGAGAATTCCCATCAAGCGTCTGCTGCGCTGCCCTGGAATGTTGGCCAACTTGGAGGGCAGCAGGCAGCTCTAAAGGGCAAGAGGGCCACCTGTGCCCACCTCACTGCAGCTCCTTGACTACCCCCTTGTGTGGTGGCCCCCCTGCAGCATAAGGAGCAGCCTTACCTTCTCGGATGAGGTCAATGACGTCGTTGGCATTGAAGCTGAGCTCGTCAGTGTCTTGGGCATCGTAGGCGTACAGTGCCCTGCACTGGGGTACCTGAGGCTTGGGCTGGGGCTGGGGCTTGGGTCTGCCCCCTGCAGGTGTGGGGCGGCTTGTCATCAGCCTACAAGCACTGTAGGGTTACAGAGAAAGGCCGTCAGGTTGTGGGACCAGGCCGAGTTGTCTGTTCCCACCCCCAGCAGGCAGTCTCACATAGGTGCCTGCACAGAAGAATTTAAACCTGAATTTTACATTTACTAGGGACAACCATGTGTGGTCATCTCTGCAGAGCATCCTTAGAATGCTTCTTATCTTGCAGAACACCAGAGATCCCAAGAGGAGAGGCACCACTGGAGAATCAGGGCTTCCACAGTCCAGATAGCTCTCATGCAAGCCTCTGCTTACCCATAAAATGACTGGCCTATCTTATAGGGAAGACTAGAGGATGCCTAAGGCGAGTTTACAAAAGCCAAGAGCTTTAAATGGAAAGTTGCTGTTGTAATTGGAGAAGAGGCCTCACCTGGCTCACCTTTCTTTTTTTATCAAAAAATGCAAATAAAAGCATACGAGAGTTTCTGATGTAGTTCTAAGCCTTGGACTACAATGCCTATCAGCTTTGGTCACCGTTGCCTATACTCAGAATGAGGGTAGGAGATACTGAATGTTTCCAGAAGAAAGATGGACTTCCAGAAGAAGATGAACATACTGGACAGGGATCCATTCCGTGACAACATGCACTGTGCCAACTAGACTGGAGGCAAGCGTGGAGGGAGAGCACAGCTCAGCCACAAGAGGCCATCCGGCGAAGCAGGGGTGATCTCTCCAGAAGGGGTCTTTTGGTATGGGCATTTAGGGATGCGTGTGTGTGATGGGAACAGGGCGCACACTGCTGTGATGAGGGAGCTTCAGCACATGTGTGGCTTTTCATAACAACCTCTTCTGATCTTTAAACAATCATGCACAACAGGCTTCTCTGATATAAAAGAGCCTTGAAATTGAAAGGCTCCCAGCATCCATTTTGGGCGGGTCTATTCTACTGGTCAAAGGATCCAGGCATAGCAATGTTCCTTCGTTCATTGATAGGTTTGGGACACCCTGCAAAGGCACCTGGGCTACAGAATGCAAAGATACAGCCAAGGGCTGTGTTTCCTGGGGTAGGAGGGAAGGGCAGCCTCAGCTCAATGGCAAAGCAATGAGATGGCTTCCCCGGGCTCCGGGGGGCTGTTAAAGGTGCCTGGTATGCTCCCTTTCTGGACCAGGACCAGCTGAACAATCCTGCCAGTGGGAGGGAGGCAAAGCAGCAGCCCCCCCCCCGGCCTTCCCCTGGACTCCAGAGGAGAGATGGAAGATGCAGCAACCCTCCAGCCCAGACATTTGTCTCTTCACACAAACAAGTAACCGTTTCATACAGAGGAACGTGACCAAGCCAACATGGCACAAGGCTTACCCAGCGGCCCCTTGCTCAGGCACTTTGAGAAAATCCAGGCTGCTGGGCTGTTGGGATACCCTTCCTGGTCCCCCCGAGACCCGTGGCAGTGGTGGGCATGCCACGGAGGTGTGCAGGCTCTTCTGAGTGGCCTGTTGGCCTGCTGCTGGGCCCAAAGGATGCAGGGGGTGTTGCTGGAGCTTGATCACCCCATTTTGTACACCTGAAAGGATTTCAAGATGAAAATGTTGAGGCCCTATGGCCCCTCATGGAACGGCTTCCCTGGGATTTCTTCCCAGATGTGGGGTTCAACTGCCAGGCTTTGGAGCAGAAGGGGGGCCCCCACTTTCACAGATTGGCTTTTTGCCACTAGGCAACAGGTGCCGCTGGGACTCCCAGCCACTTGCATTTAGTATGCAGTTGCCCCCAAACTTGAAGTCTCCCTGTCGTCACTGTGTCTGGAAGTCTCCTCCAGAAGTCTCCTCCTCCTCCAGGATGACACGTGGCATGAATCCAAATTGCTTCATTTGGCTTGTGCTTTACTTATTGCACAAATCCAGCCACCGTGGCTGATACAACAGATCCAGGTTAAAAACCAAACATGGCTCAGTGCCATCATTTAGAATCCATTGCCGATTTTGACTGATGACTCGGACAGGGCGAGCCACTTTCAAGTCTCCTGTCTACCACAGAGATCTGCTTTGTGGCAACAGAATGGGGGAGATCTTCTCATCATCAATTTCAGCTGCCCTGTGCAGAAGGGATTTTAAGTGCTCTTCCCAGGATAGTGATTAGGGACGGGAGAGAGAACAGCCTGTGGGGACCAAGGATTGGGAGCAGGTTCCCGAAACATACCTTCTGAGAGCTTACCGGGGGGCGGAGGAGCAGTCCTCATCGGATAGTTCTGGCCAGGCGTTTTGTTGGGAAGTCCTCTGGGCTGGGTCACGCCTCTTTTGGTGGGCCCTGCAACGCACCCCAGAATTCAACCCAGCAGTACCATCTGCACCTGCCACCAGCCCCCCCCCCTCATCACTTCTGGGTGTTTGTACTTACGGGCGTTCCTTGGGAGTCCAGGCCCGATGTTGACCTGCAGCACTTTGTTGCTTGGCCGGAGAATGGCCACATCTCCCTGACCTTGGCTGAACTGCACTTGGCGAGAGCCCCCAGCCTTCCACGGCCCCCAGGTCTCTTTTTTCAGTTTCACCTCAAGTCTGGCAGAGAAAGGCAGAAGAGTAGGTGACACACCGAAGCGGGGAGGAGCAAGAGTCTTCCCCCTGGATGTGTCTGCTTGGGGCAGGATCCTTAAGGGCACCGCTGGGATTCCTGAGGCTCTCCATCTCTGCGGGATATTTATTTATTTATTTGTGAGACTTATATACCGCTTTAAGTGCAAGCACTCTCTAAGCGGTGTACACCAGTAAGCAATGTATATATATATTTACATTGCCCCCAACAATCTGGGTCCTCATTTTACCTACCCCGGAAGGATGGAAGGCTGAGTCAACCTTGAGCCGGTGAGATTTGAACCGCTGACCTGCTGAACACAGTCAGCTAAAGTGGCCTGCAGTACTGCACTCTAACTGCTGCGCCACCTCGGCTCATATGTCTATGTAGTTATCTTACTAATAATGTGAAAATGAATTGCAATTGCTTTCTTTCTGTCTGGATGTAGGTCTTTATATATTAGGAAGATTTCTGAAACTTGGTCAGATTCTGGAATAGATTCTGGAAAATATTGCTGAAAATGAATTTTTCACATGAAATTTATTGCTTGATAAATCATATTCTATTGTCTCTCTTGTTTGAGAGAAAGTTAGTTGTTTCTACAAAATATTTAGTCATTATTATAGTCTTTCATATTGATACACCAACTGCAGTATTTTCATATCTTAAATATCATATCCAAAATGTAATTATTCCCATTATCTTCCCTACATCTTGGAAGATGAAATGGCACTAAGAAGATGCGCAGACAGGGGCAGACACAGAGGAGGAAGCTCAGCAAGTAGCACATCTGTCTCTGCCCACAGGACGTGGGCTGTTGACAGAGCAAGTGTGATGGATGAATTTGCTATCTCAAGCAAAGCTAAAAATAGCGTCTCTCTCTCTCTCTCTCTTTGTATCTGAACATCCCAGGCAAGGGATTTCAGCAAAATGTGTCCTCTCCCCGCCATTCCAATGCAAAGGAGGAGTGAGGGGGGGGGACTCCCAGGGCGCAGCTGACAGCCTCGCCTTCAGGGGGCGCCTCGTGCAGGGGCTACTCACGTGTTGCTGAACTTCAGGGGGAGCTGTCTCTGTGTTTTCTCCTCGTAGCGCTTTGACAAGAGGCTCAAAAACTCGGTCTTGAAGACAGACTCCAGGAGGCTGTCATACTCGTGCTCGTGTAAGACAAACAGGTCGTCCTGCAGGGTGCTGGGAAAGGCAGTTCAGGGCACCTGAAAGTCAGAGCTTGTCTCCCCAGGGAGGAGAATTCTACGCAAATGTCTGGCTTTACAGTAGTCTGTAAGTTACTTTAGTGTTACAAATCTTTAGGGTTACAAAAAGCATCTTTAAAATAGCATTAGGGCCAGGTAGTCTGAGTATTTCAGTAACAAAACACAAGAACTCCATTTTAACTAGTTTTGCAACATTTTTTCAAAAAATAGTCAGATTACTGGGATGCCTTTAAATAAGCTGATAGTAATGGTAACTTTTGTCAGAATATCAGGAGCTATAATTAATCATTTTAGTTCATTAAATCAAAATCCACGATTAAGTAGACTTTACCCAATTTCTGATTAGTATAGTGTCCTAAGTATATGCATCCCATAGTCACCCTTTGCAAGGGACGTAAATGGCTCGCCAAGCCCTGCCCCTCTGGATCCCTCCGGGTCCCTCCAGCCAGCTCCTTCCTTCCTTCCTTCCTTCCTCCCTTCCTCCCTCCCTCCCTCCCTCCCTCCCTTCCTTCCTTCCTTCCTTCCTTCCTTCCTTCCTTCCTCCCTGACAACCAAGGCAGCAGCCCTGACCTGAGTGACACCGAGAGGATCCGTTCCACTTCGATCCGTCGCTTGAGAAGCTCCTTCACCAGGCCTTTCTCTGGTCCCTGCTTCACCTTCTGACGCCCAATCAGATACACACATTTCGGAGAGAGGATGAGGTCTCGCTTGATGCCCTGAAAGGAGGAGGCATCCGTGACTGCGGCTTTGCCCACTTCACCATCCTGAGGCGTCACGTAGAGAAACGCCAAGATCTCTGGGAATGGGGTCCTATGACTGGGGGACGTTGCCCACACCGGACCTGAGGGCCCTCCATTGTTCTTCCTCGCTCCTGGACAGGATTACCAGTCACAGCACTACAATCCACATCCTGGCTTGTGATAACCATTTTACTAAGTCCATAAATTGGCCCATTCGCATACGGCCTTTGGCCAGACACAATGTCGTTATGGATAGGCATGTCTTAGAGCAGGCATGTCAAATTTGCGACGTCATGTGACATCACAAAATGTATCAGGCCGGTTTTGCCATTGCCAGCAATGGGGTGGGTGCGGCTTCCATGTGATGCATCCGGCCTGCGGACCGGCAGTTTGACACCCCTGTCTTAGAGGGAACGGGTCTGGTGCAGGACAGAAACTTGCACAGACAACAGCTTCCCATCCTAAAGCATAGCTCCTGGATCTCGGGGCTCCGGAACGAACAGTTGACTTGTCTAACTGGGTCACCTGGCCTTCAAGAAAAGCCTAACCTAAGTGCGAACAAAGGCAAGCAAGCCAGCTCACTTATCTACCTTGAACCGCCTGTCGTATTTGGTGACAGTGTCAGCAAAATCAATCTTTTCATGCTTGCCCACGAATTGGCGAAGCTCCGGATAGTTGTCCATGCCAATGTAGTCACCCACAAAGTTCCTGTTGATGCTATTCCGCCTTCTCTCCTTCTTGTTCAGCAGCAGGTCAGAAGCTTTGCAAGGGGAAGAACAATGTTACTTAGTGATCCCAGCGAGAAAAAGGGAATTCTACCAGTTTCAACCTCAGAAACTGACAATTAGTTGTCAGGGCTGAACTTTGAAGAGCTGGGCCTCCATTCAGCCATTGCATGTGAGATCTGGACTTTGTCAGACCAAGTTGGAAAAACCTGGCTGTGGTCCCTTCTCAAGTCTACTTCCTAGCTTTCCCAGAGAATATTTGTTTCCTTTATGGCTTCTGCTTTTCTGTTTCCAGCTCTTTTATATTTAGATCAAGTAGCCTCTGATAACAGAATTGGGGTAGAGCTTCACCCTGTACTTAAATAGCTACTTCAGGCCTTTGAGGATCAACTGCTTGATTGATTGCATTTCTATGGCCACCCAACTCAAACAAAGTGACTCTGGGCAGCATACAAAGTGTCAACAAGAAATATGACCCCCAAAGGAAAGCAGCAAGGTGCATTGAAAGCCAACTGAAAGGTAAAATAGCAGTCAGGCTCAAATAGGCTGCAGCTCAAACAGGTTGGGGGTCGCTCATCTGGAACCACAGTCCTGCAGAGAAAGCCAGCCATGGCTGCCTTCCTAAAGACCTGCTGGGTCGGGGCCAGAGAGGAGCTAAAGAGTATGGTGAAGACAGCTGGGTGGCTGAGAGAGAGAGGGACAGGCAGTGTGCACAGCCGTTCTCTCACTTCTTGAAGAAGATCCTCATTCGTCTTATTATGTACAAAAACAATCACAAATACCTTCTTCTCTCATTTGTACGTATTTCTTCCTTGCGATGTGTTTCCTCCAGGCCTTCTGGATGGACCGTGCGTAGCCATCATATTTTCGCTCCCTCATTTCCTCCAGCAGAAATAACTGCAAGAGAAAGAGAAGCCTTTTTGCTGGTCCAGCACTTCCATCCTGAGGCTTCCTGGGTGCTGCCCTCGCTCAGCCGAGAAACAGGAGGCGGCAAAATCCCAAAGAAGGACACTCAGTGACAGGACCACAGGCTGCATTTGATGCAGCTTGTCCAAAATTCATGGCGCAATCACTTTCCAGAGAAGAGGCAAGGATGCGGGCAGAGCAGGGATCTCTTGTAGGAGATCTTGGTACCATTCAGAAAGGCAGATAGGCTTAATCCCCAGATCCTCCCTTCAGCAAAGCCACCTGGACGCTTTCTGGAGATCTGCATCTTGAGTGGTGAAGAAGAGCCTTCGGAAATCTCCTGCTCGAAGGCATCTCAAGAAAGTTATACGGGAGCTTTTTTTGTTCTGTTTGGTTTCAAAAGTAACTTTTGGAGAACAGACTGAGGTCATTCTGCCAAATTTAGAAAATACAGAGCAATTCAGGAAGTCCTTAGATAAACCGAGATTTATCTACTTTAAGGAAAAGCATATTCGTACTTAGTAGATAAGAGGAAGCTGTTTGGGGAGATGGACAGCCATTGCTTTCTAAGCCAAGTCGGAGGTGCGCTGCCTCCAGCCAGCCACGAGGCCGCATCCGTTTTGCATGGACGCTGCTGAAGTTCTGGTGCTAACACTGAGGGGGGCCCACTCGGGATGCTTCCTAGGATGAGCTGGCAAGTCCTGCAAGGGCAAGCTAGTGAACCGTAGAGACAGTCTTTGAACAGATTTATCAGACTTGGGCCTCTCTGGCTTTTATTCAAGCTTCCATTCAGAACCGCCAAAGGAGCAACAGCCTCCCTACTGGAATCAGAGCACTTTTTGCACAAAAGCTGTCCCGGGTTGTGTGTTGGGGTCCTGGGAGAAAGCCTCACCCGTCCATCTTACACTGCAGTTGTGCCTTAATTGACACACTGTCATCTTTCCCAGCTGACTAAGTCATGGAAATTGTGGCCTGGCACATTTGGATGTGCCCTGCGGAGGATGGCCATCTAGGAGTTTTAAATGGCCCGTCACATGGAAATGACGAGCCATGTTTCCCCGGGCTGTGGTCAGCTTTCTTCTTTCTAAACAGTCGCTGCCTCTTCCTCTTCCAGGATTTCCCGTTTGGTGGCTGGCAGAACATCCTGCTGCCCCAGCAAGGTGGTTTACATGCTTCACTCCCAGCAGTTGCACTAATTGCCCATCCAAACAGAGCTATCCCTCTGCCGTGAATAAGGTTCACCTCAGACACACTTCCAGTGTCCAGTGGCAGGGAGACCAAAAGAACATTTGGGACTTTTTAATGAATAGAAATGCTTGATTTCCATTGCTGTTCCTTCTCAAATCAGATCCTCCCAGTCCACTCCATGGAAGAGAGACACAGTGGATTCATGCAACATTCCAAGCCCAAAACATCAAAGCTCTTCATGGCTTGTTGTGTTATGTGAACAAGGCCAGTAACTGTACAATCTTTGCGGTCTCATCATCAACTTTCTACGGGAAATTGGGAATTGTCTCCTCTTGGGCACATGTGCCAGAAGCTGACTCCCAAGTCAAATGTTTTGGCCCTGGGGAATCCTGTTCCCATCATGCACATCGGGGAAGCAAGGGGAAAAAAAGGGGAGTTGGGTATTGTAAGGCAAGGCCAGTGGGACCTGGCGCAGAGTGCTCTGTGCATATCTGTACTACAGCTCATCATCAAATGGTATCACGGCGGCACGCGGCAGAGGGATCTCAGAGCCGGATTACGTTTCCTGGGGGCGGGGGAGGAGGACGGGGTTACCGGATGTCTCCGGAAGGCTAAAATGGAAGCGGGTCAGAGAGAGGCAGCTTCAACCTGGTACTCACAGACTCTGGTGCTTTGATGAAGATCTTTGTTCTGCCAAGCTGGTATTGGTCAGGATCCATGTTGACAGACTGGAGCAGGTACAGAACTCCCTGCCTCTCCTCCCCCTTCCAGGAAGGCCAGGTCTCAGGGGTCAGGATGGCATACCTT